TACCTGTTGTGTTTTCAAATACAGAGAACTGACCCCAGGGGAAAAAAAAAAAAAAAAACAGCATCTGGCAGGGGTGGAGTAAAGGACAGCATGGGCTTGGTTTCCCCAGAGAACAGTGCAAGTGCTCACATGGCAGACCTCAGGCAGCCAGGAATACTTACTGAAATCAGGGTACCTCTAACACAAAGGCTAAATGATTTTTATATTTAATATTACCAAAATAAAAACTGAGGAGGAAAGTGATCAACTTATCCCAGGGAAGGCAAACCAATAGAAAAACTGTAAGATGGTACATTGTAACAAGGAGCTTGTGGGAGGGGTCAGGGAGGGGGTGGGGGAGCACTGTTATCCCAGCAAGCAGGAGACTGGGGCAGGAGACTGCAAGTTTGAAGCCAGCCTGGGGATTTGCTATGAGATCCTCCTATTCGATGGTTACTCTTCACTGTCAACTTGACCAGTTCTAGAATCACCTAGAAGCACACCTCTGGGTGCATCCATAAAGCGTTTTCTAAGAAAGTTAACCAGAAGGAAAGCCTCCCCCTTAACATGGGTGGCACCAACACAGAGTCCAAAATAAACAAAAGGAAAGAAAGAGGCTGGATCCTGGTCAGCATTCCGCTCTCTCTGCTTCCTGGGACGCTAAGATGTGAAAAGTCTCAGCAACACACTCCAGCCACTGAGAACTCTGCCGTGCATTCCCCACCACGAAGGACCGCACCTTCAGTCTAGGAGGCAGAGTAAGTCCTTCCACCCTCAAGCTGTTTCCAACAAGTGTCCTCTCCCAGTGGGAGATGAGTGACTAATGTGCTCTCCAAAAATACACATGAAAGTAACAAGATCAAGAGGTACACTTAGGGCAAATACTTCAGACATAAAGTAGTAAACCATATTTTTAAATGACCTAATTTTTGTTTAACAATTCAAATATTGCATGCCCACTGTGGTGACACCTGAGATGTAAGAAACGTAGATAGATTCAAATTGAAGGTTTACTGAGCAACCACTAATCAGAAGAAACTAGAAGTAGGAAACATACCGCTTCAGAAAGTATAACAAAAAACAGCATATCCTTTACTCAATATTTACAAACCAGAAACTTTCTTAACAGGGAAACAAAATGAGGATATTTCCTCCCACTGTTCTCTTCAACTTCACACGGGGAGTCCTCCTAGTAATGCAATAAGAAACATAAGTGAGCAGTATATAGATTAGGAATAAATGGCTTTGTTTACAGGTGGCCTGAGTGTTGATGCAGAAAACCCCAAATAACTAACAAAGAAACTCCCAGAATGAATAAATCCTCATGGCAAGGTTGTGCCAGAAGGTTGTACACAAACTTGGAAGAAATATTTGCAAGCACTGCACTGCATACAAGGGCTGGGGTCCAAAGCATACGAAAAACTATTAGGATAACAATATGAAAACAAGCCTATTTTAAAACGAACTGGAGCTCTTCACAGGCCTTCCATTAAAGAGGTGGTGTGTATGCCCATGAACACATGCTTCCCATCATATGCCAGTGGGAAAATGAAAGTTAAAACGGGAAGCCACCACACACCTGTCAGCATGGGCAAGACGGGGAAACCGACGACAACAAATGCCACCGGGGAAGTAAAAGGGGAACTCTCATCCACAGCTAACAGTAGTGCAAAGCAGCTTGTGAAACCCAAATGTCAGCTTGACAGTTTCTTACAAAGAAACTAATTATACTTTTATTATAAAAAGGAACAACTGAAAAAAAAGGGGGGGGGAACAACTGTGCTCCTGTATGGGCAGAAGGCAAAAAATTGTGTGGATGTTTATAACAGGTTTTAGTTATAATTATCCAAACCAAGGAGCACTTTGGGTGCCCTTTAGTAGGCAAGTAACTGGATGAGCTGTCACATGTCCAGACAACAGAAATCTACACACTGCTGGGTGTGACCTTTAATCCCAGCACTCAGGAGACAGAGGCAGCCTCTCTGAGAGTTTGAGGCCAGCCTGCTCTACAAGGTGAGTCCAGTCCAGCCAGAATTACATGAGCCATCTCCCCGGCCCTCTGACACTGTTTTAAATATATGTAGTTTAAAATTTTTTAGATATAATTCACATAACAAAAGAATTATCATTTTGAAATGACCCATTATATGACTCAGATAGCAGCCGATCCTGGTTCTCTCTCTCAGCCCATGACAACCACAAATGCATTTTCAGTCTTTGGATTTTCCCATGCTAGATATTTCATGTGTGGAATAATGTCATGAATAGCATTTTTGTTGTGTATCATGTTTGCAGGGTTTAGACATATTGTCATATGTATCACAATTTTGTTCTTCTTGATGGCTGAGTATTATTCCATTGTATACATATATCACATTTTGTTTGTTAACCTGTTGGGTTCCCTGTGCTCCTTAGCTGTTAAGAGTAATGCTGCTGTAAATATTGTCAAATAGATGAATATTTCTTTTCTAAAGCCTGTATTTGATATTCATTTCCAGCAAGTTTTGCTTTTTTTTTCTTTAGACTTAATTTTTATTTACCTGTATGTGTGTGTTTGTATACATGCCACATGCGTGCAAATGCCAGAAGTGGCCACAGAGGGTGTTGGATTCCTTGGAGCTGGAAAAGCAGTTGAGCCTTGTGAGGCGTGTGATGTGGATGCCAGGAACCCAATCAGACACCTCTGGAAGCTAGGGTGAGCTCTCATTTCCCTTTCTTGCTGTCTGTATACTTAGAAATGTTGCAACTGTTCCACAAGTTACCCTTTTGCTCTTGTGAAATATCACCCTTTATATCTCCAGTTTTTACCATTATTTTGCTAGATGACATTTCTATAGCCATTTTAGGTTCAAGCCAAATTGAGAGGACAACAGAGCGATTTCCTGAGTACCCCATGTGTCCTGTCCTGCACAGCTCCCTGGCGAGCAGCACAGGCCTGAGGACCTGAGTCTGAATCCCCAACATCTATGTTTTCATGTTTTCTCTTGTTTTGTCAGTAGGTATGTCTGTGCACCGTATGCATGTCTGGTGCCCACAGAGGCCAGAAGAGGACATCAGATCCTCTGGAAGTAGAGTTACAGATAGTTGTGAGCAACCATATAGGCCCAGCACCCATGTTTAAAAAGCCAGGCACATCATGGTAGAAAGGGAAAGCAAGATGATTGCTGGGGTTTGCTGGCTGCCTGCCAAGCTCTAAGTTCTGTAAGAGACCCAGTCTCCAGGGAGGCAGAGAAAGACAGAGAGGGACATCTGACATCCCCATGTTTGACACACATGTGCACAGGCACATGCACCCCACCCCATACATACACACACTGACACATACATATACACACAGTGTTGTCAGAAGTTAAAAGAGGGTGCAGCTCAGTTGGTAGAGTGCTTGTCTAGCATGCAGAAGACCCGGAGTTCCACCCCAGCACTGCACACATAGGTCATCTCAGCATGTGGAAGGCCATGGCAGGATTAGGAATTCAAGCTCATCCTCAGCCACACAGAGTGAGAGGCCAGCTCTCAATTACATGGGACCCTTAAAAAAAAAAAAGTAAAAGAAATGCAAAATATATAGTCATGGCTGGCATTTTTCCTCACTGGTACTAACTGAAATTATTAATGGTAGATTTGAACAACCTGTTTAAAACTTGTGTTTATGTTCAAGTAGGAAATCTCCTGGCAGCTATTGAGAGGGAAAAAAGTCACCACTGAGGGCTGAGGTGTGACTCAGTGATAGCACATGTTCTATAGTCTTACACTCAAGAGGCCTAAATTTCAGCCCCAGCACCACAAAGAAATAAAATGAAGCCTTGGGGGCTGAATCCTCAGATGGACACACCAGGAAACAGGCCATGTTGCTTGTGACGGTACCTCTTCCATCCCCTCATTACACAACCCTGTCCTGACAGATGAGGAAGTGAGAAGCACAGAGCAGGCTAGCATCCGACCCAAGGTCACCAGCTTCCTCCCAGCCTGCCTTCGCCATGACATAGTCCCTTACTGAACTTGAGATCTGACCAAGCTTTATTCACATGCATACCTCTGTGGTGCTGGAATAACTGAGCATGAGGCAATAGTCAACTTAAGTACATACAGGCACCTACTGTATACCAGACAGCAAGAATTTAGAAAAGAAACTGTGACGGGTTATTGAGTTCCTGCTCCAGCTTGTGACTTGGTGTTGCAAACACCAAGTTGTTTTTATTCATTTTCGCAACCATCTGCCAGGCAGGAGCCCTCCTCCCCATTCCACTGACTGATGGGAAGGAGACCAGAAGGCAGGAAGGATGAGTGGACTTGGCTTTGAATGCACCTACCTTCATGGCAGTGTGTTCACAGTCCCTGCGTCAGATAGGCATAAAGCCTTAAGACCTAGGAGCACCTGGCTGTAGAGACTATTCAACAGTTAAGAGCATGGACTGCTCTTACAGGGGACCTGAGTTTAATTCCCAGTACTCATATGCACAGATCTGATTAAAAATAAAATATTAGAGGCCGGTCGTTGGTGGCACACGCCTTTAATCCCAGTACTCGGGAGTCAGAGGCAGGCGGATCTCTGTGAGTTCGAGGCCAGCCTAGTCTCCAGAGCAAGTGTCAGGATAGGCTCCAAAGCTACACAGAGAAACCCAGTCTCGAAAAACCAAAATAAATAAATAAATAAATAAATAAATAAATAAATAAAATACTAGAACTGGGTGGTGGTGGCACATGCCTTTAATCCCAGCACTCGGGAGGCAGAGGCAGGCGGATCTCTGTGAGTCCAAGACTGGCCTGGTCTACAAGAGCTAGTTCCAAAGCCATAGAAAAACCCTGTCTTGAAAAACCAAAAAATTAATTAATTAATTAATTAATTAATTAATGTTAAAAAGATATAAGCCAGATGGTTCATCTTCACAGCAACCTTGTAAAGCAGGTGAGACACATGAGATGTCCACCATGAGCTCACCCCATATGCCCCATCCAGCATTGAGGCAGAAGTTCCAGAGATATTGTGAAAGGACCACATTAATCCTCCATGAGCCAAGCTGCTGGGTCATTCACCAAATACAGTTTTATTCTCCATTATTATACTGAAGGGTTCTGTGACCAGATGACCCAAGCATAGGCTCCCTTGCTAAAATTCAGTGAGATTTCCCACAGTGGGTCAAGACAGTGAAGTATTCCACTGAGCAAAGCTGCCCCTGGACATGGCTCCATCTTGGATACAGAGAAAGCAAAGAGGTAGGCTGTGTCTAACCCAGCAAGTCTCCAGCACTGTGCCATTTCAGTCCACCACAGGGCTCTACAGAGGGGTTGGTGGACACACTGAGAAGGCAGTACACTCAGCCATGGCCACACAGCCCTAGAGATGGCAGATGTGCAAAAACAAGAATCCAGCTCACTATCTATGACAGATGACATATCACCAAGGCCACCTCAGCATTGGGGGGGGGGTGTCAGGGGAGCACTTTATGCATGAGGTAAGAATAACAAACAGCACAATGAGCTGGAAATGGCCAGAATCATCCAGGACATGGAGGGTGGACAAACAAAGTGACATCGCTCAAAACTCTGGTCCATCATGATCTAGGTCTTATCATTCAACCACGTTTGCAGAACAATTTGCCACAACTGGTAGAGAGGATAAAGCAACCGAACCATGGGACTTTTCAGAGTTACTTTGTTCTAAGCAAGTCCAGGTCATTTACAAAAGGAAGATGGGTACAGTGTTGGACCTTGAGGAGTTGACAGTCTCGATAGAAAAAGAGGTATATATACAGGAGAAAAAATGGAATGACAGAATATCTCAATAACAGGAGCAGCTCCATCAGGAATTTCAACGAGACAGAAAGCAGCAGAAGGGATGCGGAAAGCTGGATTTTGAAGCATGAGTAAGAGTCCAACAGGAACAAATACATCTGCCAGTTCAGGGAAGAATTCCAACTTATAATGGTGATTTGTGGGGGACAAAAACCATGAAGGCTGGATCTTGGAGCTGGACCTTCACACAAGATAAGGGCTATGGACATGGTGCTGTGGGCAGTCTTCAAACTCTTAGAGAAGTCTCTGACCTCTTTATTCAAACCCAGAATGTCTGATCACACTTCGTTCCATAACAGCGGAGTGTCAGAAAACACCATTGCTGATCTGCAGGAGAAAATCACCATCACAAGCCAGCATGTGGCTGCGCAAAACCAGTCTGAGTCCCACCGATAAGGTCTTCTTTTCCAAGTGCCCCTGTTGATGGTCACCAACTCTGGTCTCCTCACCCCTGTCCTCCAGCCCTGTTGTCTACAGCCCAGGTGCTGACAGACAGCAAGCCCGAATGGTACTGTAGTTCACAAGCTGGTTCACCCTTCCGAGACCTCCTCTCACCGGAAGTGGGTGGGCTTATCAGCAGCCAGGAGCAATTCAGACAGAGCAGCATTCTCTCTGAACTCTGAGGAGTTGGCTACAGGTTTCTGGTGTTCCACAGGCAACAGAAGGGATCCTCTATCCAGGCTACAGGCCCAGGCAACTCTAGCTCAGCCACTAGCTTCAGCAAGGCCAGGACAGCATATGATGCCAATAAGGCATCTGGCATGCACTTGATGACCCCCTAACCAACAGACACTCTCCAAAGTGTCTCCAAATGCTGATTTCATCTGAACTCACTGTCCCCCACACCAGGATCCTGACTCCTCCTCCACTTCTCAGTCTCGGAGGAAGATGAAGATTCCTAGGTCACCTGGCCAGGAATGGGCAGCATCCTGTGCCCAAAATGTGTGCTTCTATGAGCTGGCAGGGGCATGGGACCCTTGCAGAGTCTGTGTGTCGAGTTCCCATTGGCTGGGGGAGCTGAGAGGACACCAGGAGCCGAGTGTAGTAGCCACCAAACACTGCCAGCAGCTGCCGAGCCATCTCCTGCAAGAGAGGAAAACAACATGAACACAGCAGACAGACCTGAGGGTGATAGGGCTTAGGCACGGGAGAAATCCAAATCATCATGCTGCCCTACCCAGGAGGGATGCTCAATGGGAAGGGCAAGCCAGACCAGCATCTGGGGCTCTTGGAAGATGCAGTCTGGCCAAGAACCCCCACTCTGCAACTCACTGGAGCTGGCGTGGGTGGCCTTGGCTGCTTCATCCCCAAGGAAACCTTACTAACAAGACATACAAAGACAGAGGGTGCTTCTCAGAGACAAACCATGCACTTGGCATGCCTGATGACCTGGGTTCCATCCATCACCACAGATATTAGTATGCCCCCAGAAGATTTGTAACCTCAGAGCACTGGAAAAGTATCGCCATCAACCCCACCTACAACCTCTTTATACTTTCCAAAGTCCATGAATTTGTAAGGTCCACTTGAAGAAAATCACTAATGGGGGCTGGATGGAGAGATGTGTCCCATGATAGGAGACCTTCGGTTCACATATGGTGCCTGGTAGACATCTTTCTACCAGACATAATAAGAGTTTGCTTATGAAAGCTGATTACCACAAAGGAACAAATACTATGCATGAAGGAGGCAGTGGTCCCGGGTTCTGGGGAGGTAGAAGGAAAGCTAGTGTTGATGTTTGTGAGGTTCAGCAGAGGAAGCATTCTGAAGATGGGAGGTGATGGGAGGTACACAACAAAGATGGCGAATCTAATGTGTGTATCTTACCAAGATGAAAAAACAAAGCATAAAGAGAGTCATTTTGAATTGGATGTCATGTATTCTCTCTGAACACATGTGTGGTCTCTAAAGTTCCATTCACTGTTTAACCAGTTGGGATTGCAGGGAAGAGGCTTAAATTCCTCCCTTGTGTCCACCTAAATGTAATAACATCAGGTGTGGGGTCCAGAGAGGCTGCATGTGTGGAGCTAGTAACTAAAAACAGGTGCTGAGATCAAGGACACACAGGGATTCCAGCTCCTCCACCCTGCAGCTCACTGGACAAGTTCCTGCCTGACTGAGATATTGTCGTCACTGGTAGTACTTACTGTGGTGAGATGGGATGAGGCCACAAGAACAAAAAGTTCTCAGTCAAGCTCAGTAAATATCACTGGATCCATCCCCAATATTAAGAAGCAGAAGCCAGGTTTGCTCCTGCAATCTTAGCATTTGGAGGCTAAGGGAGAGGGATTGCTATGATTCAAGGCCAGCATGGACTACAGAGTTCAAAACCAGCATGGGCTACAGAGTGAGACTCTGCCTCAAAACAACACAAAAACAAAATTATAAAAATATCCTAACTTGGTCCTGGATGAGAAGCAGCTCATCCCAAATGGCCCCTAGGACTGGCTTTTTCTAAAGCCATCTTTTAAGCTAGGCTAGAGGATACTGAAAACACAAATGATGTGCTTTTCACTAGTTCATACTGGCCTCACCCATCAGCCCAAACAAGATCAATACTCTAAGAACAAATGCTCTACAGCCAAACTGGTGTACTGAGACGCTGCAGGTGGCTTCTGCTCTCTTCTGCCTTCTCCCTCATTCTGAGAGCCTGGGTCAGTCTCACTTTACCCAGCAAAGAAGGGAAGGTCATCCAGACCTCAGGGATTCACTAACAAATTCTTTGCAGGATAAAAAATCCTTAAAAATGTGAGAGGCTGTTCTGACTTCTTGCATCTGTCACAGACTCTGGGCTCCTCTAGATACAGAGCTGTCTTAGATGCCCACTGAGACCTGAGTAGAGGCTATATTTTTCCTAGCTAACTTATAAGCTATTTTCAAATCATGCATACCCACACATACACATTTGATATTCATGACAGGAAATTGTACTTCTATGGGTTTGAGCAAATTTGAAAGAATAACTTAAAAGGCCCATATTTAACAGATTATTACATGTCAACTCAGACACACAAGCCACTTGAACAAACCTTATCAGCCCTTTCTGCTCAGGAAAAAAAAAAAAGTGAAAGACTACCACAGCCACAATTTTCTCTCTTATACACCCCTCTGGGAAGCCCCGAAATCCCACCAATGCATAAGAGGGAGGCTGGGTCAGGCTGGACCTTGATTCTCTAAAACCCCAGAGTGAAAGGAAAATACAAGTTATCACCAAAGCTCCAAATATCACCTAAGGTCATTCTCACCGCTTGGGTCTGTCCTCATAGTTCACAGGTCTGTCATCAAGGAGCCAGACCCCACACACAGTCTAAGAACAGAACTTGGCAAGGTTCTGGGGCTGATGGAGCCATAGCTGAAAGGATTCACACATCAGATCCAAACAGTGACTAGGATTTAAGTAGGTAAGTAGGTAGATGATTGATGGGTAATTAGATAATGGAGATGGACAGATGGATGGTAATGGGTGAATTGGGTGGATAGATGGATGGATGGTTGCATGCATGGATGAACAGATGAATAGATGATGATGGACGGATGGGCAATGATGGACAGATAGATTGATACATGAACATGTGATTGATCAATCGATCAACAGAATCTTTTTTCTTTGAGATAGGGTATCCCTGTGTAGTCCAGACTGGCCTTAGACCTGCAGTTCTGCTACTTCCTCCTCTTGAGTGTTGGCATTACAAGTATGTGTTACCATGTCACATCCAGCAACAGTAAAAGATCAATATTCTTCTAAATGATGACAGGCTATGACCCATCAACATGCAACGGTCCTTACAGTGTAACTATCAAAAAGGATGGCCAAGATATTTAAACATGCAACCAAAAGTCTCAGGAAATACAAAGTTAATTCCCATAAACTATCTCTAAAGAACTGGAGTAAAGATGAAGCCTGCCATCCCAGCAGCTAGGAGCTTTATGGGTATGTCAATCTGGGCTACAAAACTCCGTCTCAGAAAAGTATCAGAATAAATGAAAATATGCACTGGAGTGAACAACAACAAAAAGAATGAAAAGACAGCTTTGATTTACAAGTTTTGAGTGTTCGCTAGCAACTCAGAGAAGCTGTAACCCCAAGACCTAAAACTTGAGCTATCACTCGGACCACACATGGGCCCACAAGGGAGGAGCTCACCAACTGCTGTGGCACCATTACCTCTGGCTCAGCATCCGGAACAAGCTGATAGAGTTCAGTCTGCATGAGTGGTCTTTCCTGATGACCAGGAGTGCTGGGCAGGAGGGGGGCATCTTCCAAATCCTCAGGCCCTTCCACCACAGTGCTCACTCCCGTCTCCATGACAACACATAGCTGGCTTAATCTGCTTTTCAGCAAGGACTACAAAGGAAACAGAGGGGACACAGGTGTGTTCTAAGTCTGGCAGATAGACTTTGACAGGGTGGAACCAGCTAAAGAGCCAGACGGCTGACCTGTGAGACATTCCAGGGAGATCATTCTATTCCCCACAAAAACAGGGTCCTGGAGTGCTGCTGAAGGCCTCTGCTTCCATGTGATGTGCTCATCACAGCGTGCAATACATGTCTATACATGTACTCCAAGTGAACAAACTAGGGTACAAACCCAGCCTGAAGCCACAGGTTCTAGCCAGCCAAGAGCAGGGTGCCACGGCAATCCTGACCTCAGGGTGTTGAGATCCCAGGAAATGACTGATCCTAGGAAAGGTGCTGGCCATCTTACCTCTTGGCTCCTCTTCATTTCTTGGACATGGTCGGACAAAAACTGCACACAGTTCTCCAGGTCAAAGTAGACAAACCAGAGCTGTGGAGAGAAGCAGCAGTGGCCTGCCCTTAAACTTCTAACCTGGAGTTTATCCTCCAGCCCCTGCTCTTTATCCAGGGCTCACCCTTTTGACAACCACCTGACATGGCCTGCTGTCTGGCAGGAACAGTGTGACTGCAGCTCATCTGTATGGCTTGCAGCAGGGAAATGGTGGTACTGGAAATCGAACCCAGGATAGAATGCTAGGTGGGCACACTATCACTAAGCTACATGGTCAACCCCCAAAAGATGGCTTTGCAAGCAAACTCAGAATATGTCCAACCATGAACAAAATGGCTAGGCCCCATCTCCCACAAAGCACACAAAAGAGAAAAGTCCTCACAAATGACATCTCCACCAAGATGTTCTCAGTGGAAGGGGTGCAAGTAAGAAAGACATCTAGTTGGTACCCCCAACCTCTCCTTCCACCTCAGCCTCAGCAGCCCCCAGGCCAGGTTATCCTTACTAGGCCAAAACTTTCCCTATCCATTGAGATGCCTTGATGGTACCACATACACAAGAATCAAGTTCTGCAGAAAGTAGAATCGTGAGTCTACCATCTGCATCTACCACTTCGCTCCCTGCTCAGGGCAACTGACCCATGAGACCAAAGGTCACAGCCCCTGCCAGATAATCTTCCACTAGCTCACCCCCAAGGAGGATCTGTTCACATACCTTTTTTAGAAATCTTTTTTACTGTGAAAACATTTTCAAACACACACAGGAGATGAGACATCCCCATCAACAGCTCACTCCACGCCCACCCCTGCTGACCGCCACCTCTCCTTGAGCGTCACATCACCCAGCACCTCTAAGGATTCTGAAAGACCTCCAGATATTGCATCATATCATTCCAAAATGCCATTGTGAAGATGAAAGAGACCACTGTCTGAAAAGATGTATCCCTTCATTAGTCACCTGAATACCCACAGATTCAGCCACACTCCAGGGTCCCTCCTGCATGACAGGGATAGAGAAGACTTGGAAATGAATGAAGCTAGGAAGGGGTTGAAGCTAGGTACATTCCAGAGATGCAAAGGTCCCATTTGAACTGCCAGGAATCTTGGGCCAATACCCCAAGCAAGATAACTTTACATGCCATGCTATCCCAGGTGTGATCAACTCCAAAAACCTAGGACCCATGTGTCCTCAGCCCCAGCTCTACCCAGAGAACAGTGTCTGGCATGTGGAAGCTCTCAGCAAACATCTGTCAGATGCGTAGAAGGCACACCTCCTAGGTCCCCTGTGCACACACACTCTAGGCATCCCTGGGTATCCCTGAAGCAAAGGGCTGTGAGGCGTATGCATGCCAAGGAAGCCTGGGCTGAAACCCAGCTCTGCTTCCTGACTATGTAGGTTGTGCCCCTTCCTAAGTCTTGGTATCTTCAGTTGTAGACTAAAAATAAAGTGTACCCCTGCCCCACAAAAATGGAGATGAGACCTTACCAGGATTACAGATAAAACATTCAATTGCACTGAACCCTGAGCATGGGCAGCCAGGATCAAATCCAGCCTCAGCCAAGTCCCATGCATGACTTCCTACTTTAAGATCACTATACTGCCTTGGGGACACAGAAAACTACTGGTCATCACACAGCCCCTCCAGCCTCATCTCTCCCATAATGTCACTTGGCTGCAGCCCTGGGCCACTATGAGCTTTCACTGTCCCTTTAAAGCCACTGTGAGTGTATGTTTGCCTGTCATGGCATACATACATGTGTATGTATGCTCTTGGGTGTGCAGGCTCATACTGCACAGGGACTCTGCAGGGACTTTGATTCTGCAGGGTTCAGCCCAGAGAAGTCCTGAGGAAGACACGGGAACTGGGAAGGGGAAGGGACCACTTACAGAAGCACGGCAGACACTGGACCTCACAATGCAGACCAGGAGAACACAAGGCCACCTGCAAGCAGGCCACCAGGAGAGGTCACTCTGAGACACAGTACCTGGATCACACTCTGGCATCCTTCCACTGAGTCAGTCATCCCCAGCAGCACCCGGTGTCTCAGAAGGGCTCCATTGGTGGCCACCAGCCTCAGGTCTGTGTTAGTGTTAGCCTAAAAGACAAGTGCCAAGCCCAAGGCTGACCTCCAAGAAGTTTCCAAGGAGCTCCTCAGCCCTGGACATCACAGTTGTCCCTCTCCCAGAGATCACACATCAATCTTCACATTCAAGACAACTCTATCTTCCCCCTAGGGTGAATTCAGTGTTAGAGAACTTGGGCTAAAGCCTGGCTCTTCTGTACTGCCCATGTCCCTCCATTGAGTCTGCCTGTCTTAGGTTATAGATTAAGAAAAAAAAGCACACCCGCCTCCTAGGAGTGAGTCGAGAGCTCACTGAGTTGTGAAGGAAGTCTTTAGCCCAAGGCTAGATGAAATCATAATGAAGTGGATCTTTGAGGAAATTCAAGGGACAGATGGTCTATTTTGTGTGGAAAGAACCAGCCAGGAATGAGACTATGTTCCACCAAGCCACATGCTAACAGACCCACTTCTGCTAACAGGCCCACTTCTAAAGCTCCCAGCACAGTACTTGGCTCTCAGAGAAGCTGTTTCCTTTGACACCCAGACCAGTCAATGTCAAATCTGCAACTGGCAGACACCAAGGAGACCAGAGAAGGAAAGAGAAAGGAGTGACAGGACCCAAAGCAATAGCCTGGAGAAGAGACCCTCAGAGTCTTTAGAGGCAACTAACCGACCAGTAGAAGACAGGGGCTCTCCAAAGCAGTGGGCCCCCACAGGAAAACTGGAAATGTTTTTGCAGGGCCCCACAGAGACAGACAATGCTGACACTCAGTGAAAGAGGATCAGGATGGCCAGCACAGGCCTGACATTGGAGGATTGGCCCATGAAAAAATTCAACATGCCAATGACCACCTGTCCTCTGGCTTCCCTGAGCATGGAAGGGGTAGAAAAATCTGTCTAGAATTCTCAAGCATGTCATTTTAACTCCACCGCACACACCACCGGGGTAGAGCTTGGATTCACCAGGGGTCACAGTGTACTGGAATGACTCCACTGTCTTTGACCAGAATTCTGGTCAGTCTTGCTCACCTGTTTGGAAATTCACTCAGAGTTCAGTTCCTGACCCTGGTCCCACTGCCTGCGTCATAAGTAGTAATTGTTATTGTTGTTGACCAGCCTGGGCAGGTCATATACCTCTAAGCCCTAAACCAGAGATGGAAACCCCCCTGACTTATGGGCCTTAATAATGACAAAATGAGCCACTGCATGTGGGCCACTCAAGGGTGGACATTCCATCTATGTTGGCCAGGAGTGTCACTATGACATGGAACCTGGACTGAAATGCCATATTTTCCTGGTCACACATGGGCATCTCTAGGGACTTCCTGGCTGTGTGCTACACTCTGGGGTTGGACATGAGGCAGAGTCTTGGCTATTGTACCACCCTTCTGTTCTTGAGAAAGGCTAATCCCTCACCACATGAGGGGAGAAAACAATGGAGAGGGAATGAAATCTTGATGCTGTTACAGATGCCAAGTGATGCAGACAAGGTACTAATCCTGTGAGGGTCACAACCAGGAAAGGTCTGCAGGGTCCTGATAAATCCCTGGGGCCAGCTGTGTACCTTTAATCCATGTACAAGGGAGACAGAGGAAGGTAGATCTCTGTGAGTTTGAGGCCAGCCTGATCTACATAGAGTTCCAGGAAAGCCAGGGCTATGTAGAGATCCTGTCTCAAACAAACAAACAAACAAACAAAGAGAGCCCGGGGGCTGGAGATCCATGAACTGAGATCTAAAGGAAGTGCTAAGAAGAGCTATGTGGCCAAGATTAGTTCTTCTCTGAGCTTTCTTCACTGGCAAACAAAGTCAACAACAATAACAATTACTACTTATGAGCAGTTAGTTTATACCAAGTACTATTGTAAGTGCTTTCACATAAAACAGGTTCGTTAATTCTATTAAGCACCCTGTGACAGAGCCAGAGTAATGACATTTTCAGATGAGGAAATTGAGGTCTAGAACTGTGTGACTTAACTCACCCCAGGTTGTAGAGCTAACAAATCACAGGAGAATTCTGTGTCCCTACAACACTGTTGGGCACAGACATCAAGCCCTCAGCACAGAGCATACAGTGGATGTCCAGAGAATGGACATCAGTACTAGGAAAACAGGGCCCTGTTAGGGTTTCTCAAGTGACCAAAGAGCCTAGAGAATCATTTCGGGGATCTTTACCCAGGTCTCTGGCTGCACCTGGGAGCAGAAAGCAGATCCTTCTCTATAACCTGTGTCTAACACCTCACCTGGCACTCCCTGGCTTTACAGTACAGCTGCATAAAAGCAGAAGGGGCAGGGAGGAGGCCTTGCATCCAGCAGGCACCAATGGACTGTATCAGTGTGAGTGAGAGCAAGTGGACTGAGTGAGTAGAACATCTGCCAGCTCTCTTCTTCACCTCTTCCTCCTTAGGTTGATGGCTTGCTCCTCTTTCCAAAGAAGCATCTCCTAGCAGGAGCAGGAGGGTCAGTTTATAGACGGAGCACATGGATTACAAAGGCCTAAGCAGAGCCTCGGGTAAGCAAAGCCCAACAAAGATCCTTTCAGAATGACTAGGCCATACAGTCCCAATTTGTCCCTGTGAACACAGGCATGAAATGGAACTTGACAACATGAAGCCAACCAAGCCATGCAGAAGTGGAGCACTTGCTAAGGCTTTAGGAGCAGCAATCAGTGGTCCAGGGATTCGGGACATGGGGACAGGTGCTTCTCCGGGTACCCAAAGACAGCATCCTGATCTATGCAGAATAATAGCCTAAAAGACATCCGAGCCCCTTCCCAGAACCGGAGAATTCACTTTTACACAGAACAATGGACCAGAGCAGAAGCTGCTCAGCTGACCTCACACCAGGGAGAGGGGCTCTGCATACCCAGGTGGAGCCACATAAACATGGGGGTCCTTAAAGTGGAACTGGAAGAGGGCAAGAAGCAGATGCACCCCCAGGAACCCTGTCAGTCTCTGGTCCAGGGACACTCCTAGCCACAAGGTTCTAAGGAAAGAAGTTTATATCCGTAATAGCAGCACTGGATGCCACACACTAGGTGCTAAGAAGATGATCTGGACTAAGCAGTCAAACCTTGAGTTATAGCCTTGTCACTTAGCTGCAGTAAGCCTGAGGACTCCTGCTCCCTGTCTGTAAAGGCCTCTGTCCAGAGTCACAAGGTGTTTGTTTCCATGGAAAGTTCTGACAACCTACCATCCAGGAAAAGGTTGATACACAGCACAGACATACATGGACACTAACCCAATGAAGGGCACAGTGAGCTGGGAAGCAGGAATCTCCTCTCTAAAGATGATCAGGGATCATAAGCTTGGCTTTGAACCCTGGTTCTCCACTAATGAGATCCAGGACAAGTTCCCTAACTCTCTGAGCCCACTCCCTGCCTCTCAGGTTGCTGCAGAAGTTAGGATGTTAGTGAAGCACCGACCCACCCACAGAGGGACAATGGCACCACCTCCCCGGCTCTCCTCCTCCTGCCCTGGTACTACAGCAAGGTGGGCCGTGACCTTCCCTCCCTGACAATCACAAGGTATTGTGCAGGTCCAGGGAGAGGTGTATGAGCAAGCTCAGCTAACTAGAGTGCTGCAGGAACGACGGCTACTGGGAACTGCTCTTGAAACAGCTGGCTTCCAGGAACAAAAACAACAATCTGCAGCGGCTGGGTAAGAAAACAAAGAAAGAAGAGAGAACAAAGAGCCTTTGCTCCTTGGCCAAGTGGCTTTGCACACCACATACAATTGCCCCAGTGAGCAGCCAAAGCCACAGGGCCATCAGATAGTGAACTAAAAGCACTAAAGAGAGAGAGAGAGAGAGTAAACTTTGCGGAGAGGAAGGGAGGAAAAGAGAAGGGCTCGGAGCGGAGGAAGAACAGAGTGGCACAGCCTGTAATCATTGCACTTAGGAGAAGGATCATGAGTTTGGGGCCAACCTAGGCTACACAGCAAGACCCGACCTCTAAAGAACACACAAAACAAGAGCAACATGAGATGGCACATGCCTATAATCCCAGCACTCAGAAGGCAGAGGCAAGCCAACCTAGTCTACACAGCAAATTCTAGGTCATGGGCCTACATAGTAAGAACCTGTTAAAGAAAGAGAGGGGGGGGAGGGAGAGAGGCAGGGAGGGAGGGAGGAACAGTAGAACAGAGAGGATTTAGCTTCACATGTGACCCTATTTCTGTTAGTCATGGGTGTGCAGCCATGAGGGTAGTTGAAGGAGCTGCCTGAGGCAGAATTAAAGTATCAGACTGCCCGGCCCTATAAAGGGAACAGACAGGACCCCAGACATCTCACCTTTCTCTGCTGTCTCTCAAAGACCAGCACAAGGGTCAGGGTCAGGCTGACGGCAGTCAGAGTGGCAAGCAGCACGCCTGCCCACTGGTTGCCCAGGGCAAACATTTGGCTGGTAGAGTAGATGTTGGCCCACACCACCACATAGAATACCTGTAGAAGACAGAGGAAGGCATGGCGCTGTCAGGGACAGCAGCTCCACTCATGGGCACCCCTTTGGGTCAAACTGCCTCTCACGGATCAGGAAGACTTCATGCCAACCCTGAAACCTGAGCTCCTACTCCCTGCTTACTAAGTGATTCCTGACAACAGGTTCTAAATAGCCTGGCAGAAATAAAGATATTCTAAAGAGACACTTTTGTCTCTCGATCTGATTACCAAGCTGTTGAAACTATGGACCCCAAAGAAATGGGAATTCTGCTAGGAACTCACGCTGGGAAATAGCACCAGCCAGAGGGTGACTTGTCTCCCAGAAGGAGATTTCACACAGTTCTCTACAACTCAGACTACCTCACTGGATGAGACTAAGACCCAGATAAAGATGAGCCAGTGGTGAGAGGGGCCATATCTTGACCGGACTGCTCAGATGTGCGTGGCTTTGGCTATCTACTTCAACTTTGCTCTCCCTTCAGGACCTCTAGAATATTTGCTGGATCTCCTTGTCACTCTTTCCAATATGGCCACACTGGATAGATCTCCTTTTTCTGCATTGCACTTTTAATTTGGTTCTTTTAGAAGGCCTATTGAAGATGGGTAGCCATACCTGACTTGTGACCCCTTAAGTTTGACCCCTCACTTCTAAACCCTCCTGACCCCAATTCTAAATGAAACACAAAAGGGCAGGGCACTCTGGAAGGAATTCTGTGTCTAAACCCCACAGTAATCTTTGCCTTGTGGTACAGCTTGGGACAAGCTACAATACCTCTCTAAGCCTCGATTTCCCCACCTGTGAACTGGGAATAACCATGCCTACTTCACAAGGCTGTTCCAGAACTAATAGGATAACATTTCATAGTCCAATATTTGTTGGGGGGTTGTTAAAAGCTAGTCCCCACTTCTCTTTCTCCCTGAAATGGAAGGCAGGATCAACTGGGACATAAACGAATATTGAAGCCAGAAATCAGAAGTAAGGGTGAACCTTACAGTTGCAGGACCTAGATAGCCTGGGTGCACACACTGCTTGGCCATGTACACACATGTTTCTGTGTGTGGATCTATAGTCACAGGTATATGCTTGCAAGCATATGCATGTACAGTAAGGTACATTGTGCATACAGGAAACACACTTATCTGTGAACAAAAGGAAAACCAAATCCCAGAGAGAAAAGTCTTGGTCAAGGGTAAACACTGAGTCGGGAGTCTGGTGGTCTACAGATTCCCAATCCCAGCCCCCACTGATCCCTTCCACACCAAATCCATGTCTTTGATACTAGGCTTGCAAAAGCAACTGGATTACTCCTCCCCTTATATGCCCCAGGACATACTGCTGCATTTGGTGTACCTTGAGCCAAAGTGGGAGGCAGTGTGGGCCTAACCTACTACTTACAACAGCAAAGGCCAGCCGCATGGGTCTAGAGTTGTAGATGATGTATCTCCTCACTTGAGGTTCCAAGAGGGCACTCTCAGCCAAGTTCCTGTATTGCTCAGCAGGGACCTATGTTACCCAAGATAAAGAGGTCATCAGTTACAGGACAGTCACTCCCTATCTCCTTCCTGCCAACAAGCATGACATTTCCAGTTCACAGGACTGCCCATGGGAGGAGGATAAGGCAAATTCAAGGCACCTTAGAGGGCAGAAGGGGAGACTTGGAGCATAGACTGGGAATCCTAGGGTGCAGTCTAAACTGCAGGAACCTGAGAATCAGGGCACCCTGCAGAGGAACCACACAGCTGAGTCTCACTACCTTCCAACAAGCATAGCAAACTTGGGCAAGACTGGGTCAAACTCTGGTTGTCACTCAAGTGCTGGGTGACTTGGACCAAGTGAACCCTTTTCTCTGAAGCTCGGGTTCCTCCTCTCTAAAATGAGGCACTGCAGGGTTGGGTGCATGCTCAGTGAGGTGATCACAAGGGTACCAGGCAGAGTGAGAGTCACACAATGAGCACTGGGCACTCAGAGCCAGTCTATCAATGCTACCATTTGATACTCTACACAAATCCCAAGCACTGAGGGCACAGGGCTTCCTGTCCAAACCAGAGGGTCTTCAGAGCACACCAGCCCTACAGAAACAGTCACCAAAGGAACTAGCCACTTAGGAATTACATATCAACAGGGGACATCTCAAGGGGTAAAGAAGCTTGCCAGTAAATGATGCAAGCCTGATGACCCAAGTTCATCCCTCAGAATTCAGAGAAAGACAAAGGGAAAGAAAAGACTCCACACTGAAGTCCTAACTTCCACACACACACACGTACACACACACACACACACACACACACACACACACGTACACGTACACACATACCCACTCACCTACATGCACATGGTAACAAACATCATCACAAATACAGCTTTTTCCAAGTGGAAAAATATGTCATTGAAGAGCATAGCACAACAATATACACACAAACTCTTCATTAATCTTGACAACGATTTGAGAAAGATTTGAGGTTTTTGGGGAGATGGCTCAGTGGCTGAAGTGGCTACATAAGCATAATGACTTAAGTTTGGATTCCTAACACCCATGTTAAGTAACTACCTGGCAGCCAGTCTAGGCGGATCAGCCAGCTCCATGTTCAGTGACAGACCCTGTGTCAATAAACAAGGTAGAGAGCAAACCAGGAAGACACATCAACCTCTGGCTTCCACATGCACATATGAACACATGCACACGCATACACCACACAAGAAAGGAAGAGAGGAAGGAAAGCAGGGAGATGGAGAAGAGAGAATGAGGAGGAAGTTTTTGCACAAACAGGGACGAAACATGGAAGGCAAAGGCATCCAGCCTGTCCAGAGCAGGGACGGTTCAGTGCTGTCTAGAAGGTCTTCCTTCAATGGCGGTGTGTTACACTTGGAAAGCTTTGGGTGTACTGAGCTGCCCATGCCCCTGCCTGTGATCAGTCCCTTCTGGCTAGCCCAGGGAAAACCTCATCTCAAGGGCTCTGAGGAGGGAACCACACCATCGTCCTCTACATCAACGGCAAGTGCCATGGTGCACTGAGAGCCTGCCATGTCCCAGGACATCTGCAGATGCTCTTGGTGTCACACACGTAATCCTTAATGGAAGCCCTACAGACCAGGCACTAACATTACCCTCTCTTGCAGACAATAGTGAGGCACAGAGAGGTTAGGTCTCCTGCCTGAAGTCACACAGGCAGTGGGCAACAAGCCTGGATCCATGTCCACTCAGCGGGTCTGGATTTGTTGTTTGATGATATCACATCCATTATGTGGTAAGTTCCATGAACTTTCACAAATGCAGTTCCCTCCCTTATGATGCCTTCCTCCCACCCATCATTCTTAGTTTATCCCTCAACAACCCTGTTTGGGTCTAGTCTTCCATAAAACTTCCACTCACCACAGGGAAGTTCAAAACATTCTTCTGTGTCATCAGTGCCTGATATAGTCCTCTACTGTGGCATCCATGCCTGGCTGACCTTGCTTATGGGACCATGTCTCACTCCTGATGGACAGTGTGAACACTGGCACTGGGTCCTGTTCACCTGTGCACAGTTTAGCCAGCTCAGGGCCCGGACAGAGTAGCCACCCCTTATATACACATTCTAAGTGAACACACTGGGAAAAGGGAACACTTCTTAGATACTTTCCTTAGATACTGACCACAGCCAGCACAGGTAAGAGGTAGGAAAATGTTTGTGAAGAGACCGATGGGTGAACAGATGGCCAGGTGGATGAAGAAGAGCACAGACTCAATCAGCCAGCACTCACCTGAATGCCCCAGGCCTGCAGTTGCTCTTCTACAGCTCCCAGGTCAAAGGAGATAGGTGCACAGGTATTGTCGATCCGGAGGACTGTGAGGACCTGGCCATTGTGCAGCTCTGCAAGCAGATGGGAGCATCAGTGGACCAAGCAAGAGCACCTCTGGGAGAATACAGAACTGAAGGAATCACACCTCAGGCTGGGAGTACCTTCTCGTGATGACATGGTGGCTGTCCCAATCCCTAAGGACATCGTAGCTTGACTGGGAGGCCCCCAGGAGGCAAAACTAAGGACAAACTGGTCAACTATATAATGTATAACTTCCCCCCAAAAAATTTATAACTTCCCAAGACAGAAAGGCATCCCACCAAAAAATGAGTGGTAGTGAGTGCCCTGTCAAGATGTAAACAGAGGCTAAACAACCAAGTACATTAGGGGCCTGAAGAGATAGACGTTTGGTCAAACCCTGAACAGGAAGTTCAGCTGAAGAATCTAAATCCCAGCAAAGAGCCAAATATCAGATCTAAATAGTTACCATGAAACATCAGCCCCCAGATGGCCACACCGTCATCCCCAGACTATGCTGCTAGGGTGAAGAGGAATGAGTAGTGTATATGGAATGCAGGGCACAGATCAACAGGCCTTAAGCAGGGATAGCAGCTTGTAGTACCCAGTGGGGCTGATGGAATCACAGTGGTCTTTAAAAGGAGGCAGGGAACAGAGAGCTACACCATTGCTAGCGTTGACCACAGGAGGAGAAGCCACAAGCTAAGCACTGGGGAGAGGAAGGGAAAGGACACAGAGCCTTGTTCAGAGCCCCCAGAAAGGAACACAGCCCTTTACTGTGAGTTCAGGGAGGTCAGAGTGGGGCTTCTGGTGGCAGAATTCCTGCAGGGATACCATGACAGCTTTCAAGCCTCTGTGTTAAATGTCAAACATCCTCTGCATCCATGTAGAGCCCTCCATCACACTCAAACATTAATCTTGCCCCCCAAATGCCTCATCTGAACACATCAAGAATGGGTATGTGTGTTTGCAATTGTCCAAATTAAGCCCTACCTTTAGGCCATACTTCCATACTGGTCTGTTCATTATGGGGTTGCCTGAGTTGGCTTAGTGCCTTGCATACATATTTGACACATAAATAAATATGATAGGACTCTGATTCTCAACCTTGATAGTATTCTTTTCTCATCCCCTGGGTCAGGAAGGAAGAGCACCTCCAATCTTAAAGATTCCATCATAGAATTCTAAACTCTAAGTCCTGTACAAAAGAACTTTCAATTTTGCCTTCTCCCCTCTCTTTTTGAAAGGAGTGTGGTACATACGTAAAATACAGGTCAGATCTTGAGGGATCAAACTGTGACCCAGGCTGTTACTAACAAAGTAAACATGTAGGAAAACTGTTTCCTTACCTACCAATGGTCACAGCCACCACAGGAGACTGAACCATTCAGATGACAGTTTGGATGTCACCTCAAGTGGGTGAATTACTAGCCCCAGTGAGGTATAATTTGGAAGCAAGCTGTTCAGAACTCAAAAGTCCTGAAGAGACCACACTACTATGTCTTTTGCCCCCATCCCATACTTTGATAAAAGTATAAGATTAAACTGAAGACAACTCAAATGGAAAGGGGTAGACAGAAAAGGAACAAGGGCAGCTAATAAGACCATACTGGAGCCCTCACTATGCACTTGCTCCAAGAGTCTTAAGAGGTGGATACTGTTCGCATGGAAACAGAAGCCAACCCTTTAGATAGCAGAGGAGTTCACACAGTTGACTTGAGGGTAAGGGGATGGAACAAACAAGAGGAAGAGGTAGTGCCCAAAACACAGCCATCATTCAGTGGGTCTCCCACTGGTGCCCTCCTTGCCACACAGGATGAACCTCCCCCTGGAGAGTCTACACCCTGGGCTCCACAAGCATTTGCCCAAACACTGCAAAGACCTTTCACCGAGTCTCTTGTTTGTCTTTCTACTAGGAGGTCCTGGATTCTTGGCAACATGATCTCTCATCTGTTGCTTAAAATGAGAACAGCAAGTCCTGCACCTGGAAATACTTGCTTCTAGACCTAAGCTAAGCAAAGTTGAGGGAGGGGATGAGAGAGAGAGAGAGAGAGAGAGAGAGAGAGAGAGAGAGAGGAAGAAGAAGAAGAAGAAGAAGAAGAAGAAGAAGAAGAAGAAGAAGAAGAAGAAGAAGAAGCAGCAGCAGCAGCAAAGGGGGGGCTTGCTAAAATTCAGCAGACTGACGCCTCTCAAGTCTTGAAAGAAAAATGCTTCATCCTGTCCCTTTCTGCTGCAGCATGTATAGTATTTAAATTGCTTTCTTAGTAACAGAGTCATATACCTTTTTTGAGCACTGAGTTTCAGACCCTCTATGTAAGCCCCACATTCCCTACAGAACACACACAGTTTACAGTGCTGTTTCTCCTTGCTGCACCCAGCTACCATCCATCCCTTCATCCAGTACAACACTGACTCCATGTCTCTCATTGAGCAGACCTCCTGCTGGCTCTACAGACCATGGGTGAAACAGTACAGAGTCCTAGCCTCCCTGAACTTACATTCTGGTAGAGAGGCTGGATGCTCAACATTTATCACATAGATAATTGATATACTAACTAAATTCTTTAGGGAGAATACACCAGAAAATCCCAGTGAAGCCTAAGCCATCAAATAATTTGCCATGGGAAGGATGAATGGAGGCCTGAAGGATGAATGGAAACCAAACCACCAAAAAAAAAGCACTGGTAGAAAGAATATCATGTACAAGGTCCTAAGACAGAATGCCCTGGCAAAGAACAGAGAACAGGGCAGCAGGAGGTGCTAAGGCTAGCCTGGTGAGAGATGGATCTCTACATGTCCAGTAGGAGGCCTGACTGGTTGCAGGCTACACATTAGAAAAAAGAAAAGAAGCTAGAAAGTGATTCCAAGCTTAAGGTGTTGACAGGAGGCAGTGACAGTAAGAACGGGGTAGAAATGATGGAAAGTGGCTGAATCCCAAAGTCACCCAGTTACCCAGAGACCCCAGTTACAAGGTGAGTTCAGCACAGAATGGGACAGAATGAGAAGGGAAACACAGGTGGGGGACAGATCATGATCTTACCTTGTCCCCAGCCAGGAGGGCTCCTTTGAGGCAGGGTGCTGCAGCCCAAGATAGAGGTGGGCAGGGGACCAGCTGCCCCACCAGGGTCTGTGGGAGGCTCACAGGCCATGGCAGACAGACAGCTGCTTTAGCTTCTACTTCCTGTTTCTGGGGGTGCCGTTCATGCCGGGCAGCGACTCACCTCCACTTGCCTATGAAAAACAGCACAAGACAGAATGTGAGCTGGGCTCCCTGGCCTTCCCTGGGGCCAGAGTTGCTAAAGGCCAGGGAGGGTCATAAGGAGGCTAAATGCTGACTTTCCGATCCTGCTGAGGAAATTCTTTCTCTGAGGGAGAAGAAGGAACTAAAACCTTCCCCAGGCCTCAGCTGAGAATTCCCCTGCTAGCCATGGGCCTTCTTCAGCTCAGCCACACCAGGCTCTACTCATTTCTTCCTGAGATGCCCAGGTAAGCAAGTTTGAGGCAGGTATTAGATTCATTATGGGGAGGCCTGTTTATATCCAGTTTCCTACAAGGCACTGCAAAATGCACAAAACGAAACCAGGGAACAGGAAACACAGATTACAGACAGAGTCCTGATAATCATGAAGAGGAGAACTAGCCAGGCAGTTGGGCTGCATTCCAGTTCCTTAAAGAGGCAAGGTCCATGTTCAGGGTTCAACACTGTGGCCCCACCACCTCCTCTTGCTATTTGTGCAAACCTGGATACATGGCTTAACCTCAGAGATTCAAATAGGGTTCTTCAAATCTAGCAGACCTCCTCCTACAGGTCAGCTACAAAGAATCAATAAACAGTACACAGGAAAGCAATGGGGTACAGAGATCATACTCCATGAATTCTTTTAACCCTTCAATGCCTGCACTCTAGAGACAGAAGCAGACAGATCTGTGTGAATTTACCAGCCTGATCTACATAGTGAGCTCCAGGCCACCCAGGGCTACACAGTGAGACCCAGTCTCAAACAAACAAAGAAACAAACAAACAAACAAAAAGCACCTGAGTCTAGGCTCATGACACCCACTGATAATCCCAGCACTGAGGGGTACAGGGGCAAGAGACAACAGGATCAAAAAGTTCACTGCAAGCCTGGGCTATGCAAGTGAGTTTCAGACAGGTGTAGGCTATCAGGAAAAACCCTGCCTCATAAAAAAGAAAGACAGTTGTGCCTGGTGTGGCTGTTTATAGACAGTTGCTGTGACTGAGGCAAGGCTTTGGTCTTTGGGGCTTCCAGGTGGCCAAAGCCAACACAGACACATCAGCAGCTAAACTCTTATCTGAGAAAAGACTATAAAGACAGTAAGCTCTGGCTTTGCAGTTAGACACAAAGGGTCATGGAGGCATGGCCAATGCCTCCAGCATCAGGTGGCCCAGAGACACAGCAGGTATCACGCTTAGCCACTTTCATCAGCGAAAGCAGGGATGCTCCTTATGAAGGCTCCCTTAGTGACTTCCTGGGTCACCCATCTGCTGCAACCTGTGCCATGTATCCCTAGGAAAATCATGTTCCACTCAAATACCCAAGAGTGGCACATCAATCCTGTGAATGACTGATGGGCAGTTCTTGGGAACATTCACTCGCTACCAAGGAAGTTGACACTGGGGAAAGTATGAAGCTTCCAGATGACACAAACTGCCACTGACCTCTGTAGGGAGAAACAGATCCATATGTCCTCTTCACTGTTTATCTCAATGCTTCAACAGGAGCAGCTGTGTAGATGTGGGATGCCCTGAAAAGTGAAAACGTAGGGACTCCTGTTCCAAATGGAAGGGCCTGGAGTCAGAGAGATGACTCAGCAGGTAAAGCACTTGTCTCACAAGGTTGACAACTTGAGATATATCCCAGGTGCCCATTTAAAAAGCCAGATGATGTGGCAGGCATGTCTACAATCACAGTGTTCCTATGGTGAGATGGCAGGCAGAGGCAGAAGACGAAGGCCGGAAGCTCGTGGACCAGGCAACAAGAAGAGAGAGCCTGGGGCTGGACAAATGGCCCAGAGTTAAGAGCACTTGATGTTCTTACAGAGGACCAGGGCTCAGTTACCAGAACCCACATGGTGACTCACAACCAACCATAACTCCGGTTCTAGGGCATCCAACACCCTATTCTGACCTCCAAGGACACCAGACACACAGGTAGTGCAGACATACACACAGACAAAACACATAAAGTAATAAATAAATCTATAATGTATTATAAATAATAAATGAATATGTTCTTATTCATTTAAAAATATTATAAATAAACATATAATGATAATAAATAATTCTAAAAGAAGAGATACAGAAGACAGACACTGACCCATCAAGGTGGAAGGCAACAACCTACTCTCAAAAGTTGTGTCTTGACCTCTGCATTCATGTTACAGCACGTGCGCACTCACACTCACACAAAAACTGAAGAAATTAAGACAGTGACAGCATAACAAAATCAAACTGTAAGGAAAGAGAACTCTATAGGAGGAGGCCCTGAACAGCCATGTAGACCAATGTACCTGAAACCAGCCCAACTTTCACCTCTAGAATAATGGTTCTTAACCTGTTGGTCATGTCCCCCAAAAGACCATTGAAAAACACAAACATTTGCATTACATTCATAACAGTAGCAAAATTACAGTTAAGAAGTAGCAACAAAAATAATTTTAATTTTATGGTTGGGGGTGACCACAACATGAGGAAATGTATTAAAGGGTCACAACGTTAGGAAGGGTGAATCTAGAAGGCACCTTGGGAGCTTCTTCTCCCAACAAAGAACAGATAAAAAGATGGATGTTAACAATTTTCACCCTGTCCTACATGGGAGCCTAAGGCCAAAAACAAAATGTTAGGAAAATACTGAAAGCTTTAGAGCCAGAAAGCCTGGGAATCTGTGCACAGCCATTCATTCGACATTCCCCTTCAACATTTCACCCCACCCCGTGCCTGAACTCTGCTGTGAGCATCCGTACAATGGGGGCATGGAGGTCTGCCTCATTGGACTGCTCCAGGAACATAATGGCAAGTATAAGCATAGTGTTCAGCACTCTGCCCACAGACCAGGTTCCTTCCTTTCCTGTTTCACAGTCAAACATGCCCTCTCCAAAGCTGAGTGGCTATCAGCTGAAGGGCCAGAGAAGTATTCCAGCATGTGGCTCCACAGTCTCAGGCCACAGTACCATGCCCTCAGACCTTTAAGCCTGACCTGGCTTCCTTTCAGCTTACTCACAAAACCACCTTTGACTAGATCCAAAGAAACCATGTTTCCCAGGCATGATACAGAAATAAATTCCAGTCATCCTGCATTACTCCTCTTGGGAAGACAGTCTCCTCTTTGCTCATCCTCAACCTGGCCCACAGCAACAGTCTCAAACACACTGGGTACTTACCAGTCAACCTTACCATGCCTGTTTTCCTTCTAATACCCCCAAAAGGTACAAAAGCCACAAAAACAGCACTGACACCCCTTGGCTTCCTCTGATCAACTACCAGGCCACAAAGCAGATACAGCCTTGACATATGTACTCCAGGCAGAGGGCTCAGGGCCACACTTCGGCCTCAAAACACTGGAGTGTTGAAAAGGCCAGGAGGAGCTGACACAGACTGGAGTTGCTGAAGCCTGGGACTGCACAGGATTCACTGGTTGCAAAATCCCACAATGAAGCATTGTGTTGGGGCAGAACTACAGCACCCACATCAGCCCCCTCAGCTGCCCACAGAGACCCAATCAGCCGACTCCAGTCATCCACCCAAGGCTGCATGAGTTGGATGGCTAAAAGCAACCTGCCCAGCCCAACCATTTCCCACCTAGGTGGTCTTGAGCAACTAGGTAGACTTCTCTCTGCCTCCATTTTCTGGAGTGAGGACAAGGAGAGTAATTTAAGACTACCCTGTGTTCTATGTTCACAAGATCTGCACTTGGAAAAGGGTGGTTACTGAGAGAAAGTGGTGTTCATCAACCTACTCCACAAGCATTCCTTGAGAACATTCTAGGGCCAGACCCTGTAAAACCAGGAATGCAACATGAAATCTCTGCTCAGCCCTCTCTGCAGGGATCACCATCCGCTGGGAAAGGCAGAGACAACTGCCAGAGAGATGAGGAGGAAATCAGGCAGCAAAGGGGATCAACGTGGGAGGAGGGACTTCTGATCTGCCTAGATGCTTCCCCAAAGTGGAGACTGAAAGGAGCCATGCCAAATTTGAATGCGTTCAGACCAGGGGTCGGGATGGGTTCAGGGCTCCCTCTGTACATCCTCATCCAGCCCAGAGACTACAGGGCCACGAGGATAAAGGCAAAACCCCAGGGGAAGATACTGATCATTTACCATCCCCTCAGCCCTGGAGACTCCAGTCTCCAGCACACAAGTCAGGGCCCCACGCAGAGTCAGCAGAGCACAGAGGGAGCAAGCGCTGAGACTCCTGACAGTCCCTTAGGGAGTCCACACTTCAACCAGATTTTCCAGTCGCAGGCTGTGCAGACTTAAGCCCCAAAGGTCCCATCTCAGCACAGAGCCTGCCAGCCTCACCGACAACTAAGCGCCTGCCAGGCTGCCCCGAAAGGAAAGAGAAAGTGGCTTTCCTTCTTCAAACTCAACTTCATTATACTGCAAGTCCAACAGATCAGAGGGGCGATAGTCCCAAAAGTTCAGAACAGAAAAGCCTGGCTAGACAAGGAGTCCAAACGCTCCCATTTCAATGATGTGAACAGTAAGCCCCGGAAGAGAAAGCTAACTATCCAAGGTCAGGGAGCAAAAACCCAGAGGGAGCTAGAATAGAAAGCCGGCTTAGCTCACGGCCGGGCGTCTCCCTTCGTACCTGGCCTTGGCCCTGGGCAGCTGGCTCCCGGGTCTCTGCCCTCTAGCCTTTGGGCTCCCTCACCCTAGAAATCACCCTCCCAACCCCGAAGCTCCCACGCCTGACGCGTGGGGCGGGAAGAAGTCGCCAGAGCCTTAGCGGCGAGACAAACACGCAGGTCCCGCGGCCCCAACCCCCGAGCGCCCCCGCACGGGCGCGCGCACGACCC